CCCCGAACATTGCATCAACTTTCAAATCAACGGAAAAAGATATGGGGTGATGTTATTCTATGACGACAATAATGCTGAAAAATAGAAGGTCAGTTGAATTAATCTCGGTTTCATTTACATAAAGTAATTCAGCCGTACTTTTTACGTTTCAAAATGTTTGCCTGAGTTCGATATAGTTCTACCTTCCTGTTACCTACCTAATACGAGGCAGATATTTTTTAGGCTAAATGGTTGTCGGCTTATTGTAAATCAGGTCTCGTGCTCTTGTCGACAGGATATATTACTTCGGCCCACAGAATTTATTGAGCATTGTACCATCGAAATTGCAGAGCAAATATACTGGATGTTGCCGACTACGTGTTTTTGCCTGCATGCTAGGAAACCTTCTTGAAAAGAATAGTCAAACGCTTTAGTCAGGCCAGGATGTTATGCGGACGGTGAGTTTATCTAGAATCTACATTGAGTTCGAGTTTTTAAAATTGTATTAACATTGAAATCAAGTATTCAAAAACCGGATGATCATTGAAGATGATTCTTATAAACCAAACCATAGCAAACGAAAATCAACAGGCCAATTTTAAAATTACCTTTACAAATAGTATAGGTAACTGACTCAGATAAAAACATATCCCGAATCGGCAACATTACTGTTGACATTCTGCTCAGTTGTCATATAATATTACCTATAGAGAGGCAAATAATAACGTATCCATTTCGTGATATGTTCTTTATCTTCGCAAGTTATTATTCAAAATAAGGGTTGAAATGTATTTGTCCTTCTTTATTTAGTAGCCTCTAGCAGCAGCAAACAGCTCAATAAATCAAAAGCAAACATTCAATTCTGGATACAGCAAACAGTAAATATTTAAGCGCGCTTTGTCACCGAAAACCACAGAACGATTTTTCAATATTTAAATATCAGAACAGATAGGTATTTTTTTAACACGTTCACTGTGGGTATACTCGTTGTAGGTACCTGAATAAGTTACCTGGCTTGTTTTGAACGCGATCTTACGGGAATGGGTCCCGGTTTTGATTGCTGTCACTTCTGATAACTTTCTTCAAATAGGACAGAAATCAATTATCTGTCAATGAAATAAATACAATATTTTATGCCAAAATTACGATTCGTGCATGTATTTTAGTGCAGTAATAAGAAACATTTGTTACGATTTCATTTTCTATGGGTGTCAAATAAGAAAAGAAAAATATGCAACGAGTAGGTATGTATACTGGTGTAGCAGTCAAAGTATTATAAGGTAGAAATACAGCCCGCATTTTGTCGTCTGAATTGAAACAATTCGTAGATAGTGTTTCAGCAAACGTTTCTCGTTCCCTCTTTGCGATTCAAAGCATTTCAGGCACGTATCGTACATAAATCTCTTGCAAATATTTAGCTAAGATAGTAGCTACACGCTAAAGTGCTTCCTCTTATGATAAATGCATTGTTGTTGAAAACATGCATGCACTTATTCATTAATAATATGTAAGATTTGAACTGTGCTGCCTCATTTAAGTAGGTAGGGTACCTAAATTGAACACATTAGAAGCCACGGTAAAAAATTAACTTATTATTTCCTTCAGAAACAAAATACATTAGGCTTCTTGAAAGTTGAAAAGAAATACACAATGCCTCCGACACAAAAAAAGTGTTTATTTGCCTTTATATTGAATGTTAAAGATTGCTCAGAAGAAATACTTACTCTCAAGTTATTTATTTGAAAAACACTCGTAAAGGGCCGTGTTTTGCAGTTTTACCAAAAATAAATCAAGGACACATTGTTTGTTTTTTTTCTTTCAAAATAACGTGTTTTATCAAAACGCCCATAAAATGCACGGTCACGGATTTTTTATAATTCGTTTGGTACGCCAGGTTCAAATCTCAGCCGGGTTCACTATAATACGATACTCAATCGCTTGACATTTTGTACCAGTCAAGAATCTGCATACCAACCTAGCGGTCAACGTTCAGATTTGGATAGAGCCTAAGGACGTCGTGCGACCTAAGTAAGTCATTCGCATTTGTCTGTCATTCTGATGTTGTTTCTGAGCCCGTATTTTCACATAAACTAAACAACAGCCACACATTTGTAACTGGAACTTATGTTTCGAGAAATTTCGCGGTTGTACGAGTTCCTAACGCCTCTTTACACGTGATTCGTGAACAACTCAAAATGACAGCCCGTTGTGTCTTTGTAAATACGCCACGTAGGTACCTACATTATCTACTTGTTTACTAATATATTTTATTTAATGAGCGTCACATTGTAAGAATCGCGTTACAATTACTTAGTATATAAACCTTAGTAGGTACAGAAGTACAGATACAATAAGTATGGATGGCAGCTTAATATTTCCTTTCATGCTATAGCACGGTCTCGGATTTGCACCCTGTCCAAAAGGTGCCTACCTGACGTTAATTAAATGAATACCTATGACCTAAGTTATTCAAGGCGAAAAATATATTCATGTTATATTCAAGCACTTTTCGTGGCTGTAAATGTTACTACGAGTAGAGTTGTTAATAATAAAATAACTAATTGTATTTCCACAGAAAATAATTTATCAGCGGGTGAAACTGCTGGACGAAAAGCTAGCCTCGTATCCAAGGCCTTTAAAGGGATCTGATTACGACAAACGTAATCCAATCTATTTTAAATTTAAGATACGTGTAGGAACAAGCATGTTTAAATTTAAATTGGTTCTAAAATAAAACGGAGATTGAAATACAGCTTTCTTACTGAAAACAATACCCACGTAAACGCTGTAGGTACACGTCTAAAGAAAACTGAAGGCGCTTAATTTTAAGTGCCAATTTTTTCAGCTAGTCCTGAAATACACAATGTTTTTCTGAACTCATATTGTTTGGTCTAAACCAACAAATGCCTAGAAAATAAAGTGTCTAACGTTCTGCACAACTTCTGTTCAAGTTTACCGCTTTTTTTAGCATCTTGGGTAAAGAAAGAGCGTGACTTTTGCTATAAACTTAATGAAAATAGTTTCTAGGATAAAAGTTCGGATGATTTTCAATATTGCGAAACGCAAAAGCTCTCTGAATTGAATCCATTTTAGCGCCGTTTTCGATTTAAGCAGACTTGATATTTTTGTCGTCATTTTTTTATAAATATTATTCAGTGCCGGCTTAGAACTACATCACCCCATATCTCAGCCGTGGGTGTCGTAGGAGGCAACAAGGAGATTGAAGAGTTGGTGTGTATTGTAATTTTAGGCGATAGGCTGACCACCTGTCACTATGGTGATATACACAGTCTTCTGAATGACTCAAACTTTTAACAGGCGTGGTGTAAATGGCCGTTTATACAACCGTTATCGCTCTGCTTACCCCGCAAGGGATATAGGCGTAATATATGTTTATTTATTCGTTTGTTTAATTAATAGAGAAAACAAACTGCTTGTTAAGCTGAAAAAATACTATCTCTCTTCAGCGGAAATTATAAAGCGTAACAAGAACAGAAAAAACATGGCTTCCTTTCACAGCACCGGAAGTATGAATCTCTAGCCTCGCATCCTGTTACTCTTTATTTAGTCCGACCTTCTGTTATAAATAGCGTATAAATAGTAATCTTTATATCGTTTGTTTGCACTACACTTTGGTGTGAAATGGTCGACTAATATTATTGCTTTGTACCGAATTTTCTTTTTACGGAATCCTCTGTGAGAGTTTTATTTATAGCAGAACCCAAATCTAATTCTGGGTAAGCTTTTGATCTAGTGTACAAATTAGAGGCTTGCCATCTCCGACAGTTTGCTCGCAGTTTACTGTTCCCTAGTGAGTGCTGTAAGTACAGACTAGCCAAAACAACGGCTTTACATGGTCAAATTGGTGATTTCAGTGGTTTGTTGGCAATTTTTGGCTCAATATAAGGTAGGATAATTTTATTTGTCAAAGTTATAATATTGAATTTTGAAACAAGTAATGCTGACAATTCAGAAAATGTCTTATCACAGAATACATAATAGTACAGGGTCTTATCTAAATTAGCGCTGTCACTTTAACAAAGAGGCTTAGAAAGGATAAGGAGATATCTTAGTCTTGTTTAATATTATATCAATGGGTTCTTCGCCATTTCTAGTCAATTTAGACAATATTGTTTTCACTGTCGCATTATTTTGACGTTGCCCGACTATTATATTATTACGCCTACTATTGGAGGTCCAATTTTCTTTCCATATTTCGACCTTTTTACTTACCTACCTTAGGAAAAGTTGTTCCTTAACATCAGTTGGTCCTGCATTTTTTGCTATCGGGCACTAGTGAAATTTCATCCTATAGGTCTAGTAGCGAGATGGTATCAGATTGCGCAAAATTTATTGCCCCTAGAGGTCTTCAGACGCACCGGAACTGACCCTTCGTACGAGATTGGCGAGAAACACTCGTAACATCCGTTTATGCGTATTTTTAGCCCTGGGTAACACATGCGTTAGAATAATACTGATTTTCAAATCGCATGCGTTAGGGAAATGTGATTTGCACCTTATGCGTATACAAATACGGTTTATGTCAAACGGTTTCTCAAGACAGACGCATTCGCTAGTGCTGCGCATCGCACAACGCTGCGTTGATGGATGTATCTGTCTAACCCATTGACATAAACCGTATTTGTGGTTTGTGTTTGTACATATAATGTGGAAAGTAGTATTTTCCTAACGCATGCGATAGCGCTGTGCAAAACAACGTACAAACGGATGTGTTTCTCGCTTTAAAGGCAGCGTACGTTTGTTATCTAAGTAGATTTCGGTACTTGGATAATCAAGTTGTTTTGATGTTCACAACTAACTTACATAACTTTATCATACCCGGTTTACAATGTGTAACGGAGTTTCTAAGGACTTTACCACAAACGAGTAAGTTACGTGTTGAACATATGTTTTAAAATATCTTTGCACAAAAAGAAAATAACGCTATACCTGCCTTATTTTTTCATTTACGTCAAAGTGACGAGCATCAAGAGATTGAGAAATTCACCAGGGTCCGCTAGGTGCCCGTAGCTCAGTTGATAGAGCGGTGGGACGGTGTTCCACAGTCCTGGGTTCAAGTCCCAGGGGTCGCTAGTGAATTTTATTTTATTTTCAATTAATGAGAATAATATAGCGCTGTGAGTTGATTAAAAAATCCAATACATACGTCCAAGTTGTAAGTTTTTACAATGATATTAAAAGCCTAAGGCGAATATTCTTGCCTGAACGTTCAGATGACCTCAGAAGAGTCATTAGTTCACGACCGACCAACGGTTAAACTATCATGGTTCAAAAATAGACACTCATAGGTCAGTTATAGAAATACATTACAAAATCATAGGCACAATGTAGGGAAACGGCGCACGGGGCGCCTATACAGATGGCTCGTCAGTGCTATCGACGATTTTGACGCTGACTGACTTTAACTAGAAATAACTGGATTTTTAGGGCACCTCAAGGTAACTAAGAAGATGGTTGCCACGAATGACATTAAAAATTCTTGGATAAAAATTTGCTCAGAATCATATTATGTTCTTGTATCAGATTTTGCTTTTTAGATATTCTTATACTTTGAGATTATTGACAGCCGCAGCCTTGGTTAAGTTTCAAGTGACAATCGCAAAAATCCTGAATAGGGTCAAGTGAAACTTCGATAAACTCTCTATTTTATGGTAGGTATCTAGTTGAACATAATTTGTGAACATACCTTCCTATCATGCCCTTCACCCAGACATCATCGTCTACCGTTCATGCGTCATGTTCTGGGTAACCAATTCTGAAATACATTATTAATTCAGACGGCATGTGAACAGGACTTTCAACAAGGCATTACACAATATTTATTTGTCACATCCATTACTAAGCACACATTTTTTTCCTTCATAGTAATTAATCTAATATTATTTTTCAACTAACAGTATGCCACCTTCTTTGCATCCAAAACTTATGTGCTAAACTTTTTAATGAGAGTCGTATACTCGCAGGAACAGGTAGACAACTACTTACGCCAAATGTCAAATTTATATCAGATCCACAAACATAAATAGGGCGTAGTAGGTATAACTTTTATCATGTGAAGTTTACGTAACTAACATTTACATAAAGATTATACAACAAATTATATCAATTTGACTGTCACTTTGGTAAACGAGCATTAATATATTGAACATTTACAGTCTAAATAAATCTGTTCTTTGACCTGATGTAGGTAATACCTATTAATATTTATTAGGTACATATTTCATTAAACAAAACCGAAATTTGATGAAGAGAGAATGAATAAAATACTGTATGTATTATGATTTTAATAATAATTTTTGGTGGTATAAAAAATCACAAGTATTTGAAGCTAGTTATTAGTTTCCAACAATTTACACAAACTTACAAAATAATTTATCAAGAGCTTCCAAGAAAATCTGGACTGAGTGCCAGATCTTAAGTAATTTCATTTTACTACGATCCAAAAAAAGACAATGTACTAAGTATCTCAAAAGAAAAATTTGTAATCTATAAAATCTCATCTATCTTTGTCTGTATTTTGGACTTCCTCCAAAATATAGTAAAGCAACGAAAACTATAATATCCCGATCCAAGCCGTATATCAAGATTATTTTCTTAGTGTGGTATGAAATAGAAATTCTCTTTGCGCCCACCATTTAGGACGTGTTATGGAAGAAATAATCGCTCCGACGTTCAACAAACTTTTAACTAAAAAAATAATAATAAACTTGTGGGTGTTGATGCTCGATGGTGGACTATCGCTAATTGAAAATGCTGTAATACTATTGATAGTATCGAACCATCAGATACTATCGATTACTGGCGATGGTTTTAAATCGATCCTACCAATAGTATTGCACTTGTCTATAGTATTGATAAGGTTTGAAATATACTATCGTTTTTTAGGGTTTCGTAGTCTACTAGAAACCCTTATCATTTCGTCAAGTCTGTTTGTCTGTCTGTATGCCGCGCCCTCATAACTTCGTCAGTTTTGGAGCTATCGACATCAAATTTGGTGTCAAGATAGATCGTGTGGACCCAAATTTAGAAATGTTGAGAACTTCCCATACATGTGAAAGGCCGGCAAAAAAAATTTTTTTCTCCTGTAATATTGAATAGGGTATCGTTGAATAGGTCTTTTAAAACTAAGGCGAAGTTTTTTTGAAACAAAGTCTCTAAAATGTTTCTGTCTCGAGATATTTGCTTTTAAAAGGGGCGTTTTTGAGCCATAATTTGTTCCAGCTGTAACTTCTAAAGCATGCATGCTAAAAATTTGAAAAAAATAAGGAATATAGTTCTTAATACCTGTGAAGTAACCATGAAAACTATAACGAATACTTTACCACTTAAGAATAAGGAAATATTAAGGTTTTTCAATTTGCGGTTCATACAGCTGCAAACAAACCAGCAACAAAATTAACTTTGTAACGCTGAAAGACCGATATTTAAAAGTTGACTACGAAACCCTACTTGTGAGCGTGTCTGACACGCTCTTGGCCGCTTTTTTTATAGAATTGAACACCTACTTTTAACAAAAACAAGTCTAAATACATTCTGCTATTTCTGTTCTGAGTACGAAGACATATTTATTGTTGTTATTTTAAGTAAGCACGCGATTTTCTTTGATTTATTTATAATTTATGCTTATTACCAGTTGCCATTACTTAAGTAAAATAAATAAACAAATGAAATAATAAATAATATTGTGTAATTATTACATTTCAACATGCACATGCTATGCTGTCTAATGGCAAACTCACTTCACAGAAATTGAACTCTATTCTATACCTATTCAAATTCGTATTTAGACGCGCGCGATTCTAAGCTAAGGTAGGTAGGGGAAAGAAGAAAAAAAGAAGCTCTTTCCGCATTTCTCCGATATACCTATTTATCCTGAAAAACATACCAGTAATACACATTTCAAAGCGAATATGGTTCTGAAAACTGGCAAGTGTTCTATTTTCAAATTCTGCGGTCAGTATTGGAAAAACAGAATCGAAATCCGCCCGTAACCGTGTTAGTAGCAACTGACTGGTGAATACTAAACAGGACCAAATCAGAAACAGGCAAAAGTTTCAAACAAATATAAAACATTTGGAATATTATCAGTTATTACTGTTTGTGCTCAACTAAACCAACTACATGTCAGAAAGAAAAATAATTTTGGAGTAAAGCAATAGGTTTGTCAAAAGAACACTCGCTACAGCCGGGGTCATAAAACTTGGGCCTTATAAATAATTATTTAATTAATAATACCATAGCAGGTGCTAACAGATTAAATGTATCTTTAAGTTAATTATAACTATGTATAAACGCCAGAGTGTCTAGTACCTACGTACGTACCTATTTAATACATCACGTTTTATGATTTCGAGTTTAGTTAGCCGTGCATTCATAAATGTTTTCCTTACTGGGATTATAAACAAAGGGCAGTTGCATAATATTAATTATTTGTTTTCCACAGTCCTCTGTGCACTGCAATGAAGTCCGCAATTTACATACTTTTCTTTAGAATTATCACAAAGTGGAAGGGCTTACCCGGTATTAAGATAGGTAGGTAAGTAAGCACGCCATTGTATTTTTAAAACATTTTGCACCTTGATATTGAATGAGTAGGAAAGCGTGCACTCGTAAATCTTTTTCGTCTGTCACTCACTACAGACAGGTGTCTGCCAGTTCAAAACCGTATGCAAATAGCTGGTGCGATACACTCGATCAATACAGCTACATCGCACACATATCTGAAAAAATTGCGGTTCAGTAGCGCCCAATGTGAAAAGCGCACGTCTGTTGACTTAGGCAAGAAACACATGTAACGTTTGTTTTTGCGTTTAATTTGCGCAGTGATAATATGTGTGCGTAAAGGAAATGCGATTTTCCACCTCATTTTTTGATACATATACAGTTTTTGTCGAACAGTTTGACTGAGGCTTCTGCTAACGCATTCGTTTCGCAGCGCAAAAATCGCATAAACGGACGTTATGTGTGTATCGCGCCTTAGTTCACAATCTTTTCGGTTTGCGTCACTTTAGCGGCAAGCGGAGTGCTAAGTCTGCAAGAAAGAAAGGCGAAGACTTTGGTCTTTTCCCGGAATTAAACTTACACATTCTAGCGATAACATCAGATGTATGGCCTTTGGATTTACTAGAGTACTTACTTAAATCTTACTTAAAACCCATTCTGTTCTTTGTTGTTTGAACCTCATAGTGTTAACTAAAACGTAGGTACACCTAGTAATTATGCAAAATCCATATTTTAGAGAAGACATCTGCAGACGTTTTCAGAAATTATTATCTTCCTAAATAAATAAGTAGGTACATAGGTACTTACTTTGTCAGTCAAACATCGTAGACGTTCGAACGAAAATATCTTAATATGTACCTACTTTTGCCTCTCAGAGTAATATTAGACTAGTCTCAGGCTAGTATTCGCAAAAGAAGCTCTTGTTGTTCCTTGAATACTTGTTGCTCCTTGAAATTGTGTAGTCTCAAATATAATTAATTGATGATATCGAAAATAATGGAGGTCACAAAGTAAGACTAAAGATAATTTTTAGGGTTTCGTAGTCTACTAGAAACCATTATCATTTCGTCAAGTCTGTCTGTCTATCTGTCTGTCTGTCTGTCTGTAGGTATGCCGCGCCCTCATAACTTTTTATGTAATATAATATTCTCCTGTAATATTGAGTAGGGTATCGTTGAATATACCCTTTTTACTTTCTACGTAGGTACTATCTTATCTTATCTTATCTAAACTCAGGGTCTTATTTTTTTATTAGGAGCAGTAAATAGCTTTGATTTAGTGAGTGACCAGAACAGCTACGATAGGTATCCAGAACAAAAATCCAATATCTAGGTTCTGCATTTGAAGGCAGTGGCAAAGCATTCCTTTTCCATTGAAATCGTAACGAACCGAAATCAATTTACTGCTCCAATAGTGGACGAAATAGAGGTTGTGTAATGCGAACTATGGAGACTCGGTTTATTCTAGATATCTACTATCAGCAGCACCCCAGAATGAACCTAACTTCTTACCATGATACTACAATACTCAGGCCTAGTAGGTATTTCAAAGAATGTAGGTAAAAAATCGT